TATTACATTACATTTAATGTTTATTTAAATCATCAACATATATTACATTACATTTCTACTTCAGATATACTAATAATACATTCTAATAATACTAATATATCCTAAAAATAGCAGATTGTCATTGGCAACGGCAAAAGAGTGGAAACATCATTCGCACTTGTTCGAAAAAAGTCCATTGTTCGTCTCACGTAACTGCCGAACGGAAAGTCCGTTGTTCGCAGCAAGTCCGTTGCTCGAGTCACGTAACGGTCAAACAGAAAGTCCGTTATTCGCAGCGTCCGCTATTCGAGACGTACGTTATACGAGGCACCACTGTATATAATTAAAGAATGTTGAAAATATTTATATAAACATCTTGAAACCTGATATTATTAATCATCATTGTCAAACAATTGCCATACATCAATTCTTTGGCATTGAAAATTTTAATTTTAATATTGAGAAAATGATTTTATGATATATTTAAAGAAATTTAATATTTTTTGAATTAAATGTAAATAAAGTTTTGGAAATATTTATGTATTTTTACATAATACTAATTTAAAATATTATTCTATATATTTTCAGCTAAGAATTTAAATGGGTTTACTAACAGACACAAGAGGTCATGGGAAGCTAGCTTCAGTGTTAATGAAGCACTGTAACAAAATATGCTTTCTTTGTTATGTATCTGGCATTATATGGTTTGGTTTACTAGCTTGGGAACCATCTAATAATAAAACATACTTCTCTGAAAATGCATTACTTCCAGGACTTGTTCAAAGAGAGTATAGTCAAGGAGGAGCAGCAAATATATTGCATGAGAGTTTACAGGAAGAAGCAAAAACTCATTCTAGGTGACTAATTTTGCATAAATAATAAAACTAGGATGTAAATTACTAAAAACTTTATAAATGGAAGACACAACAAAAATGAAAAAGTCTTCACATTATAACATTGAGTTTCAATGATGTGAATAAGATGATGTGAAGACTAGAATTTTTTTTGTTTTCATTCAGTCTTTTATAAATTTCATAGTTAATTTATGATCTATGATTTATATTATCTAATAGCAATTATAATTAAATGGAGATATATAAAAGATTTTAAATTTAAAAATTTAGTTTACCCTATGCCTGGTTGCAAGGACAGTTTCGTCAGTTAGGCTTGGATGTTTACACCCATAACTTTACTCTTCATTATCCATTTGGTACTAGACCTGTAAGTATTAAATTTCTATTGATATCTTTATCAAAAATAGTAAATTTAGTAATTCCTTAACTATTTTATAAATTTGAATTATTATTTAAAATATATCACAAATTTATAACAGTTCCATTTATTCCTAGCTGATATTTAATATTAAAGCTTTGTTAACATTTTTTATTTATTCTAATTGTATTTGTCTGAATATCAATTTTCAAATTAAATCTTGTTGTTGAATTATTATTTTGTTTTATTACAAAGAAAAATTAAAAATTATAATTAAAACTAAGTAATAATAATTTATTAAAATTAAAAACTGACTGACATTTACATTAAAATATAAAGTACTAGTAGCCCGGGACGCCCCCTAGTGGGCGTTGTTTACAAATTTCCATGAAGCACGGTTCCTTTGACTTTTTTGTTCCTATCAATATGCTCTACAGCTCTGTTGTAGTCCCAATGGTAAGATTAGGTGAAGAGGTGGCAGCCCCCAAACTGTAGCCCCCTGTGCGAACAATAAAGGCAAAGGAACCATACCCCTACTCGCGACCCTTTGCGAGATATAAACCCCTGAAATAATAAATTCCTGTTACAAATATATTGAATTATTTATATTGTTATATTGATCAAATAATAATTTATTGGCCAAATGAATAATAATAATTCATATTGTTAATTTAAATAAGAATTAAAATTGTTAATTTGAATGTTTGAAATATGACACACGATAGGGGTGCCTCTAGTGTCTGTTATCAAATGGTTATGGGACAAACAGACGGATACCCATTGAATGGGTTATATATATAGATAAATACATTGAAGCTACAAAATTGTCATTATTTTTTGTTGTTTACAATTACCAGTGACAGTCCAAAACAATTTTCATTTATGGAGACGTCCTTTTATTTGAGGCTCTGTCTTGCAAAAAAAAATGAAAAATGGATAGAAAGGTTCTCTGGTCACGATGCCAATGCCATAACTGACAACATGATTAAAAATTTTACATTCATCTATCTAATTATAATACCAAACCCTATAAATATTTGACTTTTGGAAATAAAATTTATCCAAACAAAAATATATGAGATGTAAAAAATAATGCCAAGTAAAAAGTTACTTTCTTAAGAGTTTTTCTTTTGCAAAGATAAGCTTGGTGCTTTGAAGCAAAATTAAAATATTAAAAAACATTAATACACACAAAAATCTTGTGGTACTGCTTCGAAATGCTGAGCTTATCTTTATTAAAGCAAATTCCTAAGAAAAAAATTTGATTGTTAACCAAATTATCATAATTTTTTACTTGAAGCTATTTTTTATATCTCAGATGCTTTTGTTTGGACGTCAGTTGTTTTCTGGTTAATGATTGCATTATTATGTCAAGAAATAAGACTGACATAACTGTACAGTTTGGTTGGTGCACCACAACACAAAGGTCGCAGACTGAACACTTTCAATATAACGTTATTCATTCTTATAATGATTTTACTAACAGAGTTCCAAAGATAAATTTTGATTAAATCAAATTTTTGTCCATACAAATAATTTTAGGTCAGTTTAAAATCCTTTTTTAATATTCCAACTTTGTTATTCATGCAGATAAGCTAATTATGATGATCTCCTAGTTTTCCATCAGAGGTCTGCAGATGTGTAGAAATACAACTGATTTGTACCTGAGTGATATTGTGAAGAATTCTTAATGCTGTGTTGTTGACATAGGATCCTCCAAGATTGGCATCAATTGTATATTGTATGTATTTTTAGTACCATGTCTTCGGTTTTAAAGTTGTTGATCATCTGTCTCTAGCTGGAATATTAAAAAAGTATTTTAAACTGACCTAAAATTATTTGTATGGTCGAAAATTTGATATAATCATTATAAGAAGTTTTAAAATGCATAAATTTGAGCTTTTGTTATTCTGGATAACATTTTGAATGACATTCATCCATTTCCATGCAATTTTATTCTTATAAGTATGAAATTAAGCAATAAAAATAAAATGGTCTATGAGGAAACCACTGTGAACTTTGACCTATCAACACAGACGTTTCACCAGCACTTTACTCATAATGAGAAAAGCTTAAGTTTAAAATTTAAGCTTTCTACACCTGGTACTTTTTTCTCTATGCGGGTCTGCAGTGCTGCATGAAGAAAAGAAGAAAATACAGCTTTTTGGTGATATTTGGATTTTTCATTGCTTATATTTCAGCAATCCCTTTATGGAAAAATCTGAAATTTTGCACACTAAGAAAACAAGTATCTTTCGAATGAGATATTTAGAATTGCTATAGGCCTTTGGAGGACAGAGAAATCAACCCCTAAAAATTGGCAATTTTGATTCCTGTATATATAGTCAGTCAGTGGCTTTTTCACTTGGCTGGAAGCCACAGCCATGATCTCGATTTTTAAAGCTTTTTTGTTTTTATTAAGATAATTAATCCAGTATTTAGTATTAATTAGCACATACTTTAATAAACAAATAAATAAAATTCTAACATTATCAACATTTACAAATCTCCTCTTCAGGAATTCAGTTTTGGAACAAAGATGACTTATTAGAATTGTACAAATTTCTTTTACATCAAATGCAATTAAATCAAAACAAGTCAGAAATTTTTAAAAATGAAATACAAAATAATTTTTTTCATTGGAATGATTAACATAAAATATTTTTCAAAATTAACAAATATTTGTTGAATACATGGGGTGGAAAATCAGTAGGCATTGAAAAATTGCTATAATTTCTATATTTCTAATGCAAAGACAATGAAAATTATTTGATGTGTACCTTAATAGAAATATGTATGCATACCTTAAAATTCAATGTAGGCAGCTGTGCCATCCACCAAATTCTCAAATGATGGGATCATGATTTGGATGGACAGCCACTTCTCTGTATGTCCACAACCTGTGAACCTGTGATCATTAGTTTCAAATTTTGAATCATTTGAAAAATTGTGATCATTCTGGATTATTTCCAGACTGACTGTAGCATGATGTCCCTTTACCATACATTATGATTTATGCACAGTAACTATTGATTTTCACACCTCATAGCATTCAACAATCTATATTCACTCTTGAACAGAGAAGCAGTTGTCCATCTTTTTGCCATTGTGTATGTGGCTTCTCTTGGTCACTTCCTACAAACTGATACAGGAATTATGAAATTCCACTGATTAAAGTATGTGTGCACATAAAGTTTATTACAATTGTATTTAGTGGGTTATACTCAGTTCACACCGGTGGCTGTGTACTATGCCTGACCAGAGTCAAGGTACAGCAACCAAAATAAAACTAAAATTAAATAAGTGTATCAATGTCAGTGTCTGTATTCAGGAATTTCCTAACAATATGGCATGTATTCAATATAGTGGCCTTCTGTAGTGTGATGTATGTATTTCTATTCAATTGTAATGTTCCCAGGCTTCTGTGTAGTGTGTGTGGTATCATACCTGTACAGGAGAGAACGACAGGTACAATAAGCACCCTATCCATCCTCCACAGATTCCTTATTTCCTGGGCGAGTTCTGAGTACTTGCTAATTTTTTCAGTGCATGTGTTTTGTACATTGTGAGTGTTTGGAATGGCTATGTCTATAATGTATGTGATTTTATTGTGTTTTTCAATGAGTGTGATGTCTGGTCTGTTGTGGTAAATTGTTTTATCTGTGATTATGGCTCCGTTGTAGTAGAGTTTGTGCATGTTGTTTTCCAATACTTCTGTGGAATGTATTTGTAGTATGGTTCGTGGATGTCTAATAATTTGTGTTTGTTTGCAAGCTCTTGGTGTATTATATTTGCTACTTGATTATTTGATTATGATTGTATTATTATTATTATTACAAAAATTATATCATTTTCTCAATGTCTAGTTACTTTCCGCCTACCCTGTAGTTTAATATGTGGATTCTGTTCATTTGATACTGTGTATAATGATATAAGTTAACTATAACAATACTGTATGTATTTATTAATGAAGTAATGATTTCTTTCAGAATTACACTGGAAAAAATTTGTATGCTATTCTTAGAGCTCCGAGAGCAGCAAGCACTGAAGCAGTAGTATTTTCTACACCATATAGAGCTTATGATAGTATTCATCTCACTACATTACCTGGTATTGCACTTATGATATCATTAGCAAAATTTTTTCAACGTAAGTAATTAATGTTTATAATAACATATTGCATAAATGTTAAATAACTCAAAATTTCTAAATTAATGTAAAGTATAACTGAACTACATAGGCTGTTTTTTTTTTTCAAGCTCCAACGGTCCATAAAACAAAGACAAGTGTAAATAACAAAATGAATTTATTACCAAAAGTTAGGTACAAACATGGTTACTTTTCGACACAATCACTGTGAAGGTTGAGGCATTTGTCATATCTGTGGATGAGCTTTCCATCCCCTTGTCATAGAATGTTGCCGCCAATGACTTTAGATGGGCACTAACATTGTTTTGAAGATCATCATTAGTCTCGAACCTCTGCCCTCCTAGCCACATTTTCAGTTCAGGAAAGAGGTGGAAGTTGTTTGGTGCTAAATCAGGGCTATAAGCTGGGTGTTTAAAGGTGATGAAGACTTCCATCTTTCAGACTTCCACCCAGTTTAAAACTTTTTAATGTGTGAAGATTTCCACTTCTTTCCTGAACTGAAAACGTGGCTAGGAAGGCAGAGGTTTGAGGCTAATGATGATCTTCAAAACAATGTTAGGGCCTATCTCAAGTCATTGGTGGCAACATTTTATGACAAGGGGATGGAAAGCTCATCCACAGATATGACAAATGCCTTAATCTTCATGGTGATTATGTCGAAAAGTAACCATGTTTGTACCTAACTTTTGGTAATAAATTCATTTTGTTATTTACACTTGTCTTTGTTTTATGGACCGTTGAAGCTTGAAAAAACCTGCCCTCATAGATTGACATACTATGAACTGATGATCTATTTCATAATGAAAGTATTAATTTTTAAACCTTTACTATGCTTTATTTTCTTTGTCACTTCCTACAAACTGACACAGGAATTATAAAATTCCACTGATTAAAGTATGTGCACACATAAAGTTTATTATGATTGTATTATTATTATTGTAATGCATGATGATTCTAAATTATTACGACAGTTTGTATCCTATAATTTTCCAACTGAAAACAACAAAATAAAATTGCCAACAGAATATGAAAGTGTAACTCAAAAAGGTTTATTTGACAATAGTACTTTGAGAAAGCTACTTGCATACTTTAATTTTTTCAAAACAAAGTCTGTTATATCAACACAATGTTTTAAAGAACTCAATGTGGAAAAAGATCTTACTTCAGGTAATTCCTTCTAACATTTGTTGAAGCTATTTCAGGAAATTGATAGTATCCATCACCAAAAAGGAGTGGGAAGACAACACTTTGCAGAAAGATGTTGATTGAATTCAGGAAGTATTTTTTCAAATCCCACAGAAATCAACTAAATAAGTTTCTTTGCACTTAGTATATAAATTCCTCTGCTATCCAAGAGTAGAGCATTCCTGTGAAACCTTTTGTAAGTCAGAATGGCATAAGTTGAAGAAGCAATTACTATTATTTTATGAGGGAAAATTTTTGACCATTTCAGACTCAAAATTAACTTAATAAATTATAACAAATAATATATAAAACCTAAAGTAATACTAATACATAGTAAAAGCAGGAATGATAAATACACAGTCTATATAAATAAGTAGAAATGTAAGTATAGTATAGTTAATGAAACTACACCAGAAGTATTCCAGTAAGTAATCTCTAATCTATGAAATTGCCCTTGTCTCAAAATTTGATCAAACCTCCAAGACTTCCTTTAAATTCCACTTTTTCAATACTTTCATCACTATTATCCATTCTTTCTGTTTCAGCTTGTCAAAAAGACTGGGTGATTTTTTCTTTAGAAAAGATAACTTAATGGAACTTCAGACTTTTATTTGTATACCCATCAATTCATTCACACCATAAATAAACTTTCCATTTTCTCACTTGGCATTTGCTAATGGATGCAAAAATAAATTGACATAAAGCATAGCTGTTCACACACACAGTTTAATGTGGTACTGATCATAATCCCAAACACTGTAATCCCAAAGATTGAAATCCTAAAAGATTAAAATCTCAAAAATATAATTTTGGGAATAATAATAGTAAATTTTTAAAACTAAATTTAATCATCCAAACATCATCATGTTCAGATGGGCTACCTTCTTTTACCAAATCTCCTCTTCAGGAATTCAGTTTTGGAACAAAGATGACTTATTAGAATTGTACAAATTTCTTTTACATCAAATGCAATTAAATCAAAACAAGTCAGAAATTTTTAAAAATGAAATACAAAATAATTTTTTTCATTGGAATGATTAACATAAAATATTTTTCAAAATTAACAAATATTTGTTGAATACATGGGGTGGAAAATCAGTAGGCATTGAAAAATTGCTATAATTTCTNTCAACTTTCTTATTTTTTTTAATGTGTTCTAATATATTTTTAGCTTTTTCTTATTTGTTATTTATTTTATTGTCACAGGGTTTATTGTTATGCAGAGAATAGAGATTTTTTGTCTTACTCAGACTTTTCCAATTGTAATTAAAATAAAATAAAAATAAATAAAAAAAGGCATTTATTTACATTTTTAAACAAAATTTATTTGAGAAACATATAAACACTTGAGAGAACACTTCATAGCCTCTTTTATACATATTACTTTTATTAAATATTAAATAACAGTAATAGTCAATATATGTGAACTTGCATAATATTGTGTATTATTACATTAATACATAGTAGCTAAAATAAAATATATAGAATTACAAATTATAAAAATCAATGCTGAAAATTTTAAATAGTGAGGAAGAAAATAAAAATATCAACATACGAAAAAGCATATTACATGGAAAGATTAGTTTCACAGAGATAGTCTGTAAGAGCTGGCCAACTTTCACAATTATTAATTATACTTTGAAGTCTTGTTTTGCAAAGAGTATCTGCTTTTTTTCCTTTTAGGGCATAGTTTTCTTCAGAGAATATGCTCAAATTCATTTTCTAAATAGCATTGTACTTTTTGAAATTCTTCAATGATTTGATATACACCAAAGTGAGCATTTCCTACTAAATTTTTTCATTTTGTGTCATGCTTCTATGTTGTTTTGGATATGCAGAAATCCATTCTGCATGCACTCATATAAAGACCACAAATTTTTCATTAGAAATTGATATTTTAGGCATTTCAGGATTATGACCCAAACCCAGTTCAAAGGTATGCCAACTTGATGCTGAATGTAGGTTTTCAGGGAACAAGTTTGGAGATACCTCTTGCTTTTCAGAGAGCACAATATCTCTAAAATAGCTCACTGCATAACAAATGTTAAATGTGATTTTTGCTTTTTTTGTGTTTTTTTCATAAAAGTGAAAATAAACTTTAGATTTCTTTTGGTTAGCAAGAACAGGTAGTAATATAGATAAACCTTTCATAAAAGCAAATTAGTGTAAAATAAACTTTTGTAAAGTGTGTAAGGTTCCTTGACCCACTGTAAAGTCTTTGTGCCAAATGGTTTCTATGTCTTGCAGTGAAAGACAGGTGTACTTGTACTCACCTTTCTCATGATCTGTAAGGATGACATGAAAAGTTAGATCGTATGGGGAACAGTGGTACTGGACACAGATTTGCACTGACACGGATCAACAGTGACACTCGTGTTTAATGAAACAATAAGGTCATGCTTACAATAAGTACAGTGGAGACTTTTGACACAAAGGATAACTCATTGCTGCTATCAAAACATCAGTTATTAAGAATGTCGAGGAGCACCAGGTGAAGACATCCTGACAAACACCACTAGAATATGATTTTTCACTTGCAACCATGGAAGGGCAGTTCCTTTTTTTCATGACCACGTTTAGGACAATCTTCTGGTGCCAACCTTGGGAGGATGATCTTTTGATGTCGACCACTCTGTGTCCTTGAAAACCTGGGCTTTTATACAATTTTCCCACAAAATTCCAACTTCTGGTTGGTTCGAACTGTTGGTTTCCTGCATCCCCTTGGTTCCCAAGCTGTTGCTAGGACCATGGGGATGTTGATCACACTCTATCTCCACTGATATGGACCACTGTCCTCAAAGATAAGGTTACACTTCTTCTTGAATGATTGTCTTGTAAATCTCAGAAAATGTGTTTTTCTTCTCTGAAAGGGAAGAAAAACACATTTTTGGTCAACTGTATTCGCAGCTGCACCTGTAAGGTTTTGGTCGCAACTTCCTCCAAGGAAGTGTTTGCTTTCTCACTATACCTGGTATTGGGTGACCACAAAAATTTTGATCAGTGTTACTTCCTCTTTCTCCCTCATGATCTGCAACTGGAATGTGACAATTAAATTTTACAGCACCCAATATCTGTCTCCCCAGTTCCTAGCAGAGGAATACAGGTGATATACCCATCTATTGATGTTGGTTTGACAGTCTGTTTCTTGCATCATCAGGTGAGGTCCCAGAATATCTATACATAAATGACTGTTTGGAGGGATTGTAGTTTATAGACATGTTTATAGCTCAATGTCTATAAACTGCAATTGTGCAGGCTTTACATGTGGAAAATAAGACTTATTTCTAATTTATTCAAGACATTATGTTAAAAATTAAAGCTGATAAAAATTATCTATGAAGTTAGAGATTTAGTACAGTCGACCCCCCTATAATTACGGTCCCTATAGTTACGATTCCTATAAAACTACGAAAAAATTGCTACCGGTATCCGTAAAATATAGTAAAAGTTCCCTATAAACACCTCAAACGTCATCGGGAAGCCGAACTACTTTCCCGCCGTCCGTAGCGCCACGCTACGGAGAGATTTCTATCGTCTGGACAGTATTATATAAATTATATATAAATTAGGTACTGTACATATAATTATATATTAATTATATATAAATTAGGTACTGTATATATAATTATATATTAACTTATTGTAACTTTGTTATAATTAAATATATAATTTCCGCCGTCTAGCGTGGCGCCACGCTACGGAGATTTTTACGCTAACTATCGTCTGTCAGTATGTAAATTAGGTACCGTAAGTCTAATACAGTACTGTAATTTTATACATTTCTTGTGAAAGAAACATTTCTTATTCAACGGCGATTAAAATTATTTATATTAATGATGTCTCCGAAGTTCTACGAAGTTTTCACAGAAAAATAAGTTGTTAGAAATCGGCCGCTCTTTGCTGAGCTGTTCCGCGACGAAAACAATGTTGAGCAATGGCAATGTCGAATGGTGACACTCGGTAAGTAATCCTACAATTTTTTGTTTATAGCGTAGTTTATACGGATTATTCCCAAAAAATATATACGTATTTTGGAAATGTTGAGTCGGATTAGTCTAGAATCGATTAATTTTATGGAAGAAAATCTTTCAAACAGCCGTAGTCCGTAAACTTGACACGTGTCGGGTTGTGATTGGAAGGATTCGTAAGAAATCGGATTCCTAGAGAATGGAACGTATCTCTATCTTATAGGGGGGTCGACTGTAATGAAGAAATGCTTTGATTATCAGAGAGGATAAATCATCATAACTGCAGAATATTGGGATCAAGATATCTTCACACCATTTGAGAAATTGAAAGAGATTGGCCAATGGTGAATTTTAGTGTACACTGGGTGATTGGATAATGAATACTTTTGTGAAAGATTTTTATGATCGGACAATGAACACATGTTTGGATAATGAACACTTCACTGAACAAACAGAAAAAGAAGCAATGAAAATAGCAAATACCGATTGATTTTCCCTTGTCTTCAGGCAACAATTTGAAACTTTTCAGAGTGCTGGAGACATCAACATCGATGCTCAACCTGGAATATACTGATCAGATAGTATTCCTCCGAACTTTGAAACTCTCCCTTGTAATTCTACCCTTTTATTTTTCTGACAGAAACAATTCTTTTATAGTATTTGCAAGACTGTCAGGCAGGCACTCATTAAGTTTTGTGTTGAGTTTTATTTTCGAAAGGTAAAATAGCAAAGGTAGAGAGTGCGCTGAAAATATCTGATGTTGCTGGACAATATGGCTTGACCAAATGTACAGTAGGGCACAGTTCAATCTTATCTCAGAAAGATACAGTATAATCAAGAAGACTCAAGCAGCTAAAGGAGTAACAAAAATCACTTCTGAGAAATAAAAAACATTGAAGAGCTCATAATGGAACCTGAAACAGATTTGACGACAGAAGGATGCTCTTGAATGGAGAAGTTTCTTGGTGTTCTTCATTCAAGGACTCTTGAATGAAGAACACCAAGAAACTCAGCGAGTTATGTTTTATTATGAAAAAAGGATTAATGCCGATATCTGCTATTAATTAAAGATCTTTTGAAGAAGTGGGGATGTCAGATCAACGGTCTTATAATGGCATACAAACCAGGTTGAGGTTAATAAGCTTGGGGATCTCTACAATTACAATGCTATTAATTAATTATGAAAATCCTGAGGAAGAGAGAAAAGCAATAGACATTAGACAGATTCTTTAACCCCACAAACAAAAAAACATAACTAATAAAAATGCAAGACTGCGTATATGTGTATTTTTATTATTACATATAAATGAATGTAGTAAGAAAGTGTATATTTTTTATTTTTTGGGGTCTCCAGAACGAATTAATCAAATTTCCATATAAACCTATGGTAAATTGATAATCGGTTAATGAACAATTTGGATAGCGAACAAAGTCTTGGAACGGATTATGTTCATTAACCAATCACCCACTGTACTTTGTTATGCTTGGAAATTTTTGACATTTTTTACTTTGCAGAAAAAACAGTGACAGTGGTGACAGACATGTTACAGTAATATTTTTATCCCAGGTCAGCTAAATGTATTACAACAAGATAGTGACTGCTACTTTGGGCTTTTATTGTCTGAGAATTTCTTTGCATTCTTGGGCATGGTGAACTGATTCTGTTTATTTTGTGCTTGCCCAATATTATATCATATGATTTCTCCCCATGCAAATATGTGAAGGGCATTGTTTACAAGACTCCTGTGACTTGATGAATTGAAGCTTAGAACTGTTGCTGCAATAATACATACACAAAGAGCATGTGAGGTAGTTATACTACATCTGTAGTTATACCATGACTTTGATCCAGCATAGCACTAGATACTGACATTCATTCAATACATACATACATACATACATACATACATACATACATACATACATACATACATACATACATACATACATTCTTTCCAAGGAAAAATAATCAAGTTAGAGTGTTGAATTTACTATATGGCAGTAATATTGCTGTCAGTTAATAAAATGTATTAATGCCAACATTACTATTCCATTTATGAGTGCCATGTCTTTTCAGTATATATATTAGAATAATTGTTATATCTTTTTACCATAAATTTTTAAAATATAATAATTATTATTATTTTCAGAATTATTTCCTCCTAACACCTTGCATTTTTATACATGAGATATGGAAAAAATTATAGTTTTAATTTTTGTGGCTTTTAGTATAGTAAATCATAACAGGATAGCATTTATGTTATAAAATCAAATTCTGATAACTTTCTAGCAGATGATTTCATTTAAATTTAAAAGTATTTTACACTTTCAGAATTACTTTCAGTTATGATATGGTTTGAGAATATTTTTTTGTTAAGGTAATATTAGGTATAATTTATGTTTGATTTTAGCAAAACCAAGTCTTTTGCAAGTTAAAATAGTTTGGCTTTGCTCAAGTTTGAAACTTTATAATTTTATGTTAAAATGTTCTGTTGATTAAATATTTCAGGTCATACTTATTGGGCAAAGGATATCATATTTCTGATAACTGAACATGAAATGGTTGGATTTCAAGCTTGGTTAGATGCTTATCATGAGACTCAAAGTGATCCAAATAGTAAGTTTTTAAATGAAATTTATTTTGTTGAATATACATACTTCTGCTTCTTTGTTGTCAATCAACTAAATAGGTTTTGTTTATACATTATTTCAAAATTATTAGTGTTCTAATAATTTTTAAGATTATTATAAATCATTGTAATTAAATTTAAGTAAGAAACTGAATTATTTTTTATTTTGATGATCTTAGTTATAATTAATACATAAACCAATAAAAAGATTTACAAAAATAAATATTCACATTTTCTCTGTTGTTTTTGTTCATTTAAATTCATGATTCACATTTTCATAAGAACTAATATTTTTAAACAGCAAAAAAAACAAAATATGAAAAAAATTTATCATTATACATTTAAATTTTAATTGTGAAGGAAAATTAGTAATTTTTATGTTATAAAATGGCATAATTTAGGAATTATTTTTTAAATATCATATTTCTTTCATCTTAAGATTCTCTAAAGTTTGAGATTAAATTATAAGATTTTTACAAAGAAAAAATGAGCCAGTAAATTAATAAGAATGAAAGAATGAAATTGTATTTTTTAAAAAATCATAATGAGATGATTTAGTGAAGTAATTGACATTTTAAGTTTGTTTTCATGGTGTCTACTGAATACTAAAACTAAAAATGTGTGACTGCCTATAAATTTAGCCTGACCAAAAGTATCATACTGGATTTCATAACTAGCATCTCACGTACTTGTAATGTGATGATTGAGTAAAAATCGTTGTTTAGAAAAGAACAGTTAACAAATATATTATTATATAATACATGTTTTTATTATTGCTAAATTATTAATTATTTCTGCTAAATTTTTATGCTTTACAGTAAGTAGAGTAACCTAAGCACTTACATATCATTTAAACATGAAGTCACAATTTCTAAATTACTCAATTTAAAGATAGTTTAATGGTTAGACTTATGACAGTTATCATTCTCATGATTTTCTTTTAGCTGCTGCATTCTTTTTTTATCAGTTCTAGCTATAGTACTTCAACATATAAGAACAGTTTTTACTTCTTAGCTTGTAATTTCTGCAGCTTCAGTTAAAACACTAGCCTATGATTTCTTTTCCTTTCTTCATTTGTAGTTTCAATTTTCTTGTTTCTTAATATCTTAATATACTCCTCTCTTCAACTGATTTGCATTATGTACAGAAAAAATCAAAGATTTTGTAATGGGGTAGGAATTAATACCATCTTGGTTGGCAAGAGTATTATACACAAGTTTACTTGCTATTTTTTTTTTTTTTTTTAAACTCTTTTAGCCCTTTGGGCATCAAAAAGACTCAGCAAACCATTATGGGTTTTGCCAGGTCCACAATGGAGCACAACTGGGTGGTTAGGGTTGGGGTCAAACATATTCAGATAGACAATCCTTTGAAAAATTCCAGTTGTTTTTGACTTGTCTGGATTTGATACCATGCTCCAGGACAGTAGGCTTAACCACTAAGTCATACAATCATCTACTTGCTGCTAGCGATTCCTCACTCAGATTTTAGTGAAAGGAGTATTGCTACTACATGCCTTGTTACAGAGTGTACATAATTATAATTCCTGCATCTGTCTTGTGATAACTATACTTCACAACTTATTATGTTGTACACACACTTTTGATACAATGGAAATATTGCCAGCTTAACTGGAAAAAGACCTGATTATTTCACATAGTGTACCTGCAAGGGGGCTGCCCATAGCTACCCCTTTTTTGTTGTGTGTAGGTAAGGTGTTACCTAAAGACCTGATTTACTGTATCAATTTTGATGAGGCATCAAGCAAACATATAAAATTAAAAATTCATAACAGTTTTTATATTTTATGTTTCAAAGTTGTATAAGTTTTGGTCCGTTTTTAGCTTTCAGATTAATGCGAATACAGTAGTTTTTCTTTCCTTCCTATCAGTGAAAATGCATAGAGTTTTCTTATTCTTATGCTATATTTAGATTTTAATTGTAAAGAAAAATTTAATTTGCATGTTATAAAAAGCCATAAGTAGGGACTTATGATGATCAATAAGTTTGAAATCAGATTATAAATTCAGTGATCAATTTTATTAATTTCGTACAACTTTCAATTTAGTAAGTTTTGAACTAATAAAATTAATTAACAAGCTAGAAATACAATACAAAATGTCATGAAATAGGTAATGTTCAGCAACTCTGTTTTTGTGCTATTCTGATATAACTCTCTGAATGCTGAATTATAATATTGTCTTAAAAGCATTTTAAACATTAAAAAAAGGAGTTGAAATGCTCATTATTAGTGAAGTTCATTTGGATTGATATGACTACTGAGCAGTATAGCCAAAGATGTTTATTATTGGTTCGTTGTTTATGCTTGTAGTCTACTTGCAATGATTGATGGTATTTTAAATTTTGGTTTTATTCTGAAAAAGAATTTAAGATTAAAATTATTTTCCATTCTTCTCTTAAATTTTTCTATTTTCTTATTTCTTTTGTTTTTCATTTCAAATAAAGATGAAAATATGTATGTATGAAAATTTTAAAATATTTCTAAGATTAGCTTTTTTAAAACTAATATTTTTTTTAATATTATATTTAAAAATTGTTTTGTCCTTTGGTTTTTCTTTACATATCTTCCTTTTTGATTCTCGTTATCTTTAATGTTTGTCATTTGGTAAAATCTTTTATTTTATTTGTTGACTTTCTTCTTTTAAGTTTAAAAATAGTGACAATTGGATATTTTACCTTACCTGTGACAGTAAATATATGCACACCCCATGCATTGTTGTCATAAACAATAAAAAAGCAGAATCATTTGCAATTTGTAAGGAAGCATTTTTACTAAACAAAATACTTCATTCGAGCTATTCTTTACAACAAAAATCTGTACATATACTGTAACATGCATCTCAATGTTTGAGGTAGGCTCCAAAATTTCCGGCCTAACTATATTTTAGACATTATTGAAATAAAATAATGATAGTATCAGATAGCACCATCTGTGAATATGGACTAATAAAACAGTTTTTCTGTCAATTTGTATAAGTTGCTTGGAAACATTTATTTTAGTTAGACTTGTTGTATTAATTTGCATTTTGTTCACCTCTTTCAGGCCAATATGCCATTATACACAAATTGAATAGAAATATAACTGTTGTTTATAAAAGTTTGTTTCATCAATAAGAAAATTTTACAAATAATTTATTTTCTATTTAGTTCTTGACTGTGGATATTTAGAAGAAAAAAGTGGTTCCATACAAGCAGCTATTAATTTAGAAATTCATGGAGAAAGAATATCTCATTTTGACTTGAAATTAGAAGGTTTAAATGGGCAATTGCCAAATTTAGATCTTGTTAATCTTGCAGTTGAACTTTGTTCTAGGGAATCTATACCTGTTACTTTTCATGATCAAGTAAGTACATTTATGAAAAACATTTGATTGTTTAAATTTAAATCAATGAATGCTAATACAGTTTATTGAAAAGATGAAAAGAAAGTGTGAAAATATTTTATTATATATTGCATTTTATATTGTATTGCATCAAATTGATTCACATGTTTGACTAGCATAAAAGTAATAAGTGTTAGATTATTATTATTTGAAACAAAATAAAATGAATTTAATATTTGTTACATTCAAATTTTCTATCAAATTTATGTTGAAATAATTTTCAAATTTTTAAAATTATTTAAAATACTAAAAAATTATCACATAAGAAAAATTTATTGTAGTATTTTCATAACTGTAACAGCAAATACATAATTATGCGACTATTTCAAAAAATTCAGTGCTAGCATAGTGCTAGTTTACTTAATGATTTATTATCAACATGATATGTATATAATGTTGCATATATCTTGCAGTAAATATCACATGACTGCCTAACTTATAATCATATAATATAATCAATTTCATAAATCAGTTTTCATTTGAATATTTATTTATTTTTTTGGAAATATTATTAGAAATAATTTTTATTTGTTTGTATTAGAATTTTTAAAACAGTGAAAGGTTGTTTACTAATAGTTTTGTTTGTACAAATTTTTAATTTGCATATATTTCTTTTTCCTGTGGATGATGTGTGTTGGTAAATGAAGGACTTAAATGGTAGGCTTTTCTGCCAATCTGAAATATCTTACATACAAATTAAACTTTTATTTTGTTAAACTGGTTAATGAACTCAAATGTACATTTTTTCAAGATTTTAGCTTTGCCAATAACTACAGTAGAGTATTGCATTTTTAAACATGGAAGGAATATTTATTCTATTTTTCTCTTATTAATAAATATACATAAGAGAGAATATAAATATACATAAGAGAGAATTAATTTTCTCTTATGTATATTTATATATATAATTTTCAACTTCAAAATTAATTATATATGTAATTTATACAATTAAATATATAATTTTCAACTTCAAAATTAATAAAAGGCAAAAGTGTCTACACTTTTACCTTTTATTAATCAGTATTATTTTTTATTGAATTAATCAGTATTACCTTTTATTAATAGATATATCAGTTTTTATACCCTATATCTTAATGTGAATTAGAATGATTCAAGTGTATTTTTGTAATTGTGATTAACATGTTTAGCCAATATTTAGAGTAACTATAACTTAGTCAAATTTATTAATCTTAGTTCTTTATGATTGTTTTTTTTTTTTTACTTTTCCAGCTGTTATATTTAACAGGAAAAGTATAGCAATCGGTCAAAAAAATTATCCCCCAGATTTTTACATTTCTTGACCTAGGACACCTTGAAATGTTGAAAAATCAAAAAAATTGGATGTAATTTCTGAATGTAGTAGTTTGTGTGTGTATGTCTGGAGGGGCATGATTTTGTTCACCCTTTTTGAAGCTTAATAACTCCTGTGTTTTTTGTTGAAAATTTCTGAAGTTTTTCAGGGAGATTTGTGTATTAGGGGATTGATGCTATTAAATTTTGGTGATTAAAGATTGAGTGGTGAGGAGATAATGGGTGTTGTGTGTATCTTCAGTAGGGTTGGACTTATTGACAATTTTACTCAATATTAGTATTAACAACTTTTTATAAAACTCATCCCTACCCTCAAAATTAAGCTTTTTGCTATTTTATAATAATTAAAAATATAAAAAAGTTTTTAAAATAAAATACGATAACAGATGGCACCGCCAAAATTTTAAATGTTGCTGGGAAAGTTGAGCAATTTGTTGCTGGTTTATTTGTTTTAAAGGCGTTAAATTGGATGGTAAATTGAACTAATTGGCACTTAACCTTGTAGTTTTTCATTACTGTTAGTAAATAGGTAATGTAGAAAATTTTAACTGTCATACCATTTTTTTATTTTTTTTAATTTTATGATTCAATTGAAGTATATTATTAAATTGATTAGAAACTATACAACAAACAGTTTCGTATCAGTTTAAATGTTCTTTTTGTCCATGGGATTTAAAACTACATTAATTAAAGTTGATTTTGTTATTCATGTTATATGCCATGGGAGTAGGCTTTGTCATGAAATTTTCTTTTTACTTGATTCAGTTATGAAGGAAATTTGTTAATGTTTACTTTGCTATCCATTTTGTTAAGTTTTCGAAAACGAGGCCGTATATATGAATTGAATTATTTCAATTCTAAAATTTTCTCCAGAATAGAGTTGAGTTAGCATGACTGTTGTTAATGGGAAAAGTATGATGTACAGGGGTAAGATACTAGTAAAATTGAGAGAATTTTGATGAAAAATTGCAGCCCAGCATTTTGATGTCACAATAAATAATTGCTTGTTTTCTTTACTAATATCTAGTTTATCTCTAGAAAATTAGATAATAACGAAAACAAAAGGCCAAATAATCTTACTGTGTAAAGCTGAAAAAACTGGATTCTTTCTTCTGTCACTGTATGCCAAAAACAGCCACTAGGGGCACCCCTAGCTATTATTTAAATTAACAATAAATTCAGTATATTATTATTTCATGCAGGTTTTTGTGTTTTTGGCTGCATTTTAGTAGGGTACGCCATGACAAATGTGGGGTCCCAGACGAGGTTTGAACTTGAGTAAACCATGAAATTCTTGCGCGACACAAAATGTAAACAATGAGACTCGGAATGGTTTGAGTATGTGTCAAACTGTCTGTCAAGGTCTTAGTGGAAGACAAACTCTAACACGAGCGCTCATAAACAGGTAGATCTTTGACATGTGTGTCTATAAAATGTTGACCAAGATAAACCTTTCGAACAAAAAAAGGGAAATTTTTGATAGATGAAAGATGAAAATGATCGTTAAATTCTTAGACGTCAAAAAATGGTAAATAACGGCCTGAGTTATGAGTGCAGGTGTTATTGTTTTATAAACAGTCGCTGAGCAGAGTCGACAAAGAGGTATCAGATGGACACCTCGAATCGGACCTTTCCCACGACCCGAAAAAGTTTCGTCTTGCACCTGGAGACAAAGGAGAGACCAATCCTGGAGACAAAGGAGAGAAGCGAGGAATGGGACGAGGGACCAATCCGAAATGTGAACAGTGGGGGAAAAACTATAAAAATCGGAACTTCAAGGTCGAAAGGGAGTCTCCTCTGGATTAAGCCTACCGTTGTGATTTAGATTGTGTTGTGCAACCGCCGATCACCCAGGACGCCACAGCTTAACAACGAACATCTGTATTGTTTAGTGATCCTTCTCGTTTGCCCGGGCTGCGACCGATCACATGAACTTTCGCTGTTCACAGGAGCACCGAGATTTTGGAATTGTCCAATATCGATGTAAGCATGAATTCAAACAAATAAACGGGTTTTATCTTGTAAAACACTTGTACTTCATTTGCCTCCTTCGCCTATCTCGCGTCAGAATGAGCCTAAGAGAAACCACATACGCGGTTTCCCTTAGGCTCATTCTGATGCGAGATAGACTTTATTCCCCCTTAACGTCGGCAACCTTACACAAATTCAGAATATTATTATTTTTATTTGTAATAGGAATTTGTTATTTATACCACGGAATGATACCGAGCAGGAGTTGCGGGTTTGAGTCCCACTCTGGGTCGATTCTTTTAATTCCAGTTAGTTCTAAATTTATTTAAATTATTTAATTAAAATTATAATTATTAAATTTAGCATGAGATGGTGCCTAACACCTAACTCTAATACCAAATTATCTTAAATTATTATTATTATTATAGCTGCTTCTAGCCCATTAATTCGGCTTTGGTTGCTTTAATTTAATAATCTTAATCTTTGTTGTTGTTTTTGCCCGAGCAACGCCAGGCTCATCTGCTGGTTAAGTATATATACATATTACATGTATTTCCCTTTTTAGTTATTTTAACTGTTTAATTATTTTTATTTATTGTTCTGAGATAGTGTATGACTATTCTAATATTCCTAATAGCATCCCAGTCTGTCTCTAATGTTTAAAATTGTTTAAGGCAAACTTTTTGAAGATTATTACAGGACAATTTTAACACAATGGGCTGTAGAAAAAGTAGAAGTAAGTTGGAAACAACCAGTAATACTTAGAAGCTGGTATGATGTTAAGAACATAAGGATTCTGGAATAATGTTTTATTTACATATTAAAAAAAGCATCTTAACATCATTAATGTGCAGTACTCAATAGAACAGAACACCAGTTGGAAGGGATTATTGGAAGCAAGAAATTGGGAGGGTATAATTAAATGTTTACAAGACAGAAAAATAAAGGAGGCAGTTTGATGTAAGAAAAGAGTGAAAAGTTAATATCTTAGCTGCTGAGAAGCAAGGTTAATACTGAGTTTTTTCTACAAATTTAGAAAAAAAAATGTGTAGTTTTAAATATTGTTTGATTTTCAAAAATGGTTGGAAAGTTTGAACAATGACTGATATTTGTTAGGAAGCTGAATTTGTACTAATACAGGACATAACAGTTTTTCATAGTAAATTTAAACAGTTGGCTACCTGAAATAAGCATTTAATATCAATAATTATGTAATAGGACCTATGTTTTTATTTTCATTCGATCTGTCACATTGTATGCAAGCTTGAATATGAGTTTCATAGATAATTCACTACTATCCACAGAAGGCTTTGGAATGTATCATCTGTAGATACAGTTGTCCCATTGTATTTGGTTTTCAATTTTGTAATATTTTACTAATAATATTTTAATAATAATCAAAAATAATTTTTAGATTAGAGAAGAAATAAAAAGATTAAAAAGCTGTTTTTTCTTTTTCCAAAAGTACTGTAACTATACATGATACATGTGGTGAACTCTATAGAGTAAGCATGTACGTATATGTTCTTCAAGTTTGTCTCATTATAGTACACTTGTAAATTTACAGACAAACATGAAACTTTACAGATTGCTGGCAACATATGTTTTCAGATCTAGCTTTTTTTTTCCATGTGGTTTTTGTAAGTTTCAGAGATTTAGCATAGCATTTTCTAGTGTAACATGATGTATAATGGTTGTTCACACTCACTGTCTCCTTTCAACAATTTGAAAGGAGACAGTGATTATTTGTTGTTATTCTACTGATTTGATTGTGTTGAATAACTTCAACACAATCAAATCAGTAGAAGAAAATATTGCTAAGTTTATTACAAAATATTAATTTTTTTTTTTGTAAATGTTATAACTTTTAAAAACAAACTCACTCTGGGAGAAGAGGGAGCAACTGGTAAATCCACTCATCAAAGGTTAAAAGATCTTAGTGCTTATAGGTCATGAAAGAATTGTAAATATAAAAAAGAAAATCAAAATTTTTTAAAGTATTTTTTTACTTCATTCAGAAGACACTTTTCTAAATGCTATATTTCCAAATTGTTACCCTTACTAAATATTATCAGAGAATACATACGTTTTGAATTTTGTTCACTTATCATATTTTTTCTTTTTTTTAGTAGTTTGATTCTTTATCTGTTTAAATGATGCTTGAAGCAAAAATTGCAATGTATTGAATTCACTTATTCTGTGTAATGTTTTTTGTTTATTTATTTGAATTTTAAACTCAATCTGTTGTGTCTTGAATAAATTTAATAGAAATAAATTTTTCAATTAATATATTGGTAATCAGAGATATAATTGGATGAATTTGATAGAACAAAATTAATTAGCATCTCAAATTTATTTAGAAATTTTCTTTTAATAGAGTAATCCTCCAGAATCAATTACATGGAAAGGGTGGAAAAAATCTTTTAGAACAATGCTTTCCATGATGCTTACACAGAGCACAGGGTTACCTTCTGGGGGTCATGGACTTTTTCATCGTTATACAATTCAAGCATTAACTCTTGAAGGGAAAACAGATGGATCTACTCTAATAACTTTTAATCATATGGGAAGGTAAATAGTTTTTAATTTTTTTATTTTAGTATTAATAAATTTCTTGCACATGTCATATTCAATATTTTACTTTTAAATGATTAATTTATTCTAACAATATCTTTATTAAATAGATCAATGATTGTAGAATTTACATAATAAAGCCTAATGTTTTTCACTCAAAAATCTGGGTTCTCTGTTTTTATTCAAATGAATATTTATTTAGGCCATATTCCAGGAATAATTTGACATTTAATCTAAGCTAATCTATATCTATTTGAAAAATTTTAATCATGCAAAAATATTTAATATACAGTAAATATGCTAAATATACTAATTTGTAAGTATAATTTTGATCATATTTCAGATAAATATGAATATATATAATTGTTGCTGATATTTAACAGTCATACTAGTTTGAATTTTTCAGCATACCAAAATTAGTGCTAATATTTAACGTTTTTTTAATGGATTTGTTATTGACAATTGATTAATGTAATCCTATTTAAATACTAATTATAAAATTATTTAAAATTTGTTGAAATATTTCTTTCATAGGTTATATACCAAAAATTTTTTGGTATTGAACCTATAATATATTGAAATTACTCAAAAATAATTTGCAATAATAGTTTTTCATTTGTCTGAAATAAAATACTTTATTTTGTCTTATTTTATGTAATATGTATCTTACATAACAATTTTGCTACTTTTGAAAATTTTTCTGAACTTGAATAATATACATAACATATAAAAAAAAACATGTATATATACTATTTCTGTAAATCAGTGTTTCTCAACAGGGGCGATATCGCCCCCCTGTGGGCGTTTTTCCATGTTGAGGGGGCGATTAGTAACAATTTATATTTTGGGGGGCGAAAAATAATTTTCTGGGCGATATAGTAAAACATTATATTAAGAATAATTAGAAATTTTATTCGTTATATTGTACAATAATTAAACAAATAATATTATACTAGTCACTAGTCTATTCAATTCAGTACGAATTTGGCGTTAGTCTTGGTCCTTGGCATCGGAATTTTGGAGTGAAGAGGGCGATAATAGGTAATGGTTTTATTGAAGGGGGCGATACTACGTTGAAGGGGGCGACGATTCATTAGTGGTTGAGAAACACTGCTGTAAATTATGTAAGATATGTGAATTTGTGACTAAACTTTAATAAATCAAATTTCCATATTTGAATGTTTGTTCAATATTAAAATAAATTAGCCAAAATATAAGAAATAAAAAATTTGATTTATTAATTTTGGCTAATTTATTTTAATATTGAACAAACATTCAAATATGGAAATATGATTTATTAAAGTTTAGTCACAAATTCACATATCTTACATAATTTACAGAAATAGAAGCATCTCTGTAATATGAATTAAAAATTGTAAACAAAATTTTATTTTGTTAAAGTAGTTTTATACTATAACAACTTGTAACTGCTTGGGTAGTGGCTTTTTGCATAATAGCATCTATCAGTTTTGGATCTTTTATCTACTTCAATAATGATGATTCCATTTTCATTACTAGTATGTTGAGTGCATATATTTGATTATTGCAAAGATATAATATCAATTCCAAATGTGTAATCAAATGTATTTTCACTGGCTTTTGTTTAGCAATAAATTGTCTTTAAGATAATGAACCTCATCTCTTTCAAAGGCAAATACATACAAAATAACACTTATTTGAAACAGTTCAGGTACACACATTGCATTTTATAATGATATGATTACATCAGTTTATTTCAAATAAGCCAGTTAAAAAAAGTCCAAGCTCAAATAAGGAATTTTTTTTAATTATAATACATAATCGTAAATTAAATGCAGGTAATCAGTAAACCAAAAATATAGCTTAAGCCCCTTATTATCTCAAATTTTGTGTTGCAAAATAATGTGACATTTTTATTTTATTATTGTAAATTATGCAATTCCAATGACAAAAGCAACCATTTGGATGACTTTTTAATGTAGAACGTCCAGATAAAAGCTTTTTCTTAGCTCATCTTACACACACAATTAAGTGAATTTGAAAAAGGCCAAATTACAGCTTGGAAAAATGTTAGAAATTGATCTCACTGATTTGCTTAAATATTACATTCCTCTCATGCTCTTAGAATAAGAAGAACTAATGCAGCTAGTTTTGTTTTAAAACATGATAGATAAATTACCCAGTTACCCAGTGTGTCATCAAGCAACTACGCACTGTAAAAGATACCATCAGTACATTCATACTCTTAAGGTGCTAAATGCCAGATTTATTTGCAGGATATGCTAAAGGAATATGGTAATGTGAGCTCGCGGATTTTTACGGGCGTTTTTAAAATTCTAAATTTTCTGTTAATTATCTTTGGAAAAACCCGAAGAATTTGAACTAGATCAGATTTCACCGATTGTATAATGACTAGCTGAGGAAGTTTACAGTTAGGTGTGAAGAATGCACCGTCATCGTCAACAAAAGTCAATCACATGACAGTTTTCCCACGCTAATGATATAAAAGCTTGAATCTCCAGAAGCTCAGGGCGATTTGTCATAGGAAGTTGTACTTTGTGATAGTGCCCACCTCGACTCCCGAACCTCCATACAGCGGACATGATCCAGCTACAGAGAGAGGATATCAGCAAGAAGACACGGAGACACCACACCCTTCCATACAGACGATGTTCGCCAAACTCTCCCTTCCACCGAGAGGTATTTAGGGGTTAGAATTTGTAAAAGCGCTCTCTCTCAAACTAGAAATTAAGTCAGTGACATAGCTACGAAATTCATTGCCAATTTCTGTAAATATTTTAATATAACCGCATTTAACCTTAGTAGCAAGTTCGCCTCTTGTAGAGTTCAGATTTGTTGATTCAATAAATGCTTTGTTATTTAGTTAAATCTGTCTCCTGTCACTTAAGGACGCCTGCCGACTTACCGACGCACTCCCTACTCGATTTGCCCTCCTAGCCATCCAACAGACCCCAAGATCGGGTTTTACCAGCCTGTTGCTGATTAAGTGGTCAGTAGGAGATTAACCCCTGACCCACGGCTTATCTCACAGTAATAAGCCAGAGTATCCACCAATTAGAGAAACTGTGATGGAATTAAGCTATGCGAGATACGCAAACTGATATTCTTATTTGGTGAAGTAAAGAATGGAAAGAGATATGACTCAGAAGCAAAAAGTAGAGGAAGAACGGCAAAAGCTTATGGAAGAGAAAAAAGAAGAGGTACAGAAAATAAAGTTTATCAATATACTGTTTTAAGAAAATTGAATGAAGCAAAAAATCAGAGGCAGAGAAGAGACAAATGAAAAACTTTTCGGTGAAGCTAATAAAGTAAATAGTTTTAGAAAAAATGATTTGAAAGTAGCCAAAGTTTGCCAAGCAATGCTACAAGGTATTAAAGTACAAGAGGAGGAGGAGGAGGAAAAAGCCAAAAGTAAACAAACAGTCCAACTATAGAAAGGATTGACAAGAAAGGAAATTTCATAATATTTTTTTCACTTTTTCTTGAAGAAATTTGTTTGGTTTGCCTTTGATCTGCATTCAGTTGGATTTAAGAATGAAAAACAAATTTACTTTGTTTAGTTCATTCTTATTTTCACTTATATTCTTCAAATGTTGTTTACACTGTCTTGTAAAGTTATGTTCAAATAATAATCAGTAGGAGGATTGTAAGGAATGAGGGAACACAAAATAATAAAATAAATTAAAATATTATTTCATAAAAATAAGAAACCATATCTCAGTTGTTTTCTTTTTCATGCACATCTCTACATTAGGATGGTAATTTGTAAAGTTCTATATTTATAATGTACAGTAGACCCTTATAAAACAGGTTCATATAATACGGATTTGTATATAACGGCGAAAAAATTGCGACTGTATTCGTATACACACGCTAAAAGAAACTTGTAAAATATGGTAAAACATCATCGCTGATGCATGTCATGACAGGATTGGTTGAATCTAGACCAATAGCGGATATTGCACAAACCATTAAGTTTAAACAAGCAGCGAATCTACCAAAAACCATTTATTATTTAATGGCCATAAAAATTATTTATATTAATGATGTCTCCAAAGTTCAGCAAATTTTTCACAGAAAAATAATTTATCAGGAAGCACGCGAGCACTGTTCAATGTGCCACTCCACAACGAAAACAAGCTTAGGCAATGGCATCGTCAAACGGTGTGCACTTGGTAAGTAATCCTACAATTTTTTATTTATAGCATAGTTTATATGGATTATTCCCAAAAAATTATACGTGTTTTGGAAATGTTGAGTCAAATTAGTCTAGAATTGATTAATTTTATGGAAGAAAACCTTTCAAACAGCTGTAGTCCATAAACTGCACATGTGTCGGGCATGATTGGCTCATGTATTTAAGGACTCGTACAACACAAAATTCATAAAAGACGGAACGTATCTACTGTGTTATAGGGGGGTCTACTTTACTATTCTTTTTGAAGGTCTTTATATGTTAATGTTTTCAGTCATTTATAATTAAACATATACTGCATTTAAAAGTATCAATGTGAAATTAGTGGTAATATTCAGTCTAGAATAGGTGAGGCCAAGTTGATTGAAACAGAACATTGTACAGTACATGTTCTATGCATTAAATAGCTACATAACAGTTGAACAGTTGTGGAACAATGCTTACAATTGTCTGAAAAATCATGTAATTTGAATAATTTGTTTACATTATGATGTCAAACAATTATCAAAGTAATCTTTATATCATAGATGTACAAGCTTAAGTTGTAGATATGATGATAGTCAATTGCTATGTAGCTGTTGACTACTCTGGATGTACCTATTGTTTACTATATGGTTACTTTTTGTTTTCTTTAAAGAATTTAGTTAGTTTTTCAGTTATTTTCAGGCTTACCTGTCACTTGCAGTCCTGAAGTCAGACTATTTTTAAAGTATTTGGAACACTAGATAGAAGAATAACAAAAGCTTTTTGCAATTCCCTCTGAACAAACAAAACAAAACACACAAGGTAGACAGATCAGTTACAGATTACAGAACGTGGAAAAAATTACAATGCACTCAATTCCAAAATTTTGGAAGTACTGTATTCTCTTACTAAGCATTGAAAGGTCTTTTAAAGCTATTATAAAATTATTTTTCTGGAACTTCAGAATGTGTGGGAAGAAGTACTGTATCAAGTGATACAGTGGATTAGATCACTAGTATGTACAGCAGATTTGAGTTTGCTAGTATCAATATCCACTTCATCATCCCATTCATGTCTTGATTTCTGAAACTATTCTCCAAAAATACCATAAATCCTCCTTCTGTCCTCAGATATTCATTGTGGCTGTTATATCTGTTCATATGGTCAAACATTATTTGAACATCTACAAAGAAAAAAGGTGTAAAAGTGTAATGGTATTTTCACTTGATGATGTGATTATCATTTCTGATGATTTTTTAAGACTTTTCCTGGAAGCATATCATCTTCAATACTTGTATATTCCTTGATCAAGTGTTGGAAAAAGTGTGGAACAGTACAGGCATATAGTACCACCTGAGTATATATGAAAAAGAAAAACACATAAGAAAACTCATAATAAAAATTAATTGCTTAAGTAGTAGTCTACTTTGAATTTTCAACCAATTTTTGGTTTCAAAGTATTCCTTAGATCCAACCTATGAAACAGAGGAGCAAAGTGATAACTTTGGAATTCCATTTTCTCTTGTTCAACACCTATAGTCAATAATGTTGATTTGTAGCTGGAAGTAAAGATGGAGGCATAAATCTGTTGTACAGAATATATTGAAGATCACTTCTCCAGATATCAAAGCAGTTTTGGATCATTACATTTAACATTCTGGAGTAAATACTTCTTATAATTTCCCTGTAACTATTATGCATATGGAGGATCAACAGATAAAAAATTTGTTCTGAATTGCAATATAGTTAAGATGCTATGCAGTATGATCAGATCCAGAATCCCTACTCTGTTGTAGTGGTCTATGGTAGCTCAACCATGGCATTCCTTTATCAAAATTTTTTCTGATTAGAAACTAACTCTTGTAGCATTTCAATAAAAATTATTTGTATATATATTTTTATATTTATAAAATTAAAGGTCTACTAGTAATTAATTGTTTAATTCTTATCCTCATATTTTAACATATTTAAATAATCTTTAAATATGAAATTAATCAATAATAAACTAATATTAATAAACAATAATGTTTACATGAATTTTTATAATATTAATTGTACATTTTCAGAGTATTAGAAGGTATATTTCGGAGTTTAAATAACCTACTTGAAAGATTTCATCAATCATTTTTCTTTTATATACTTCCTTCAACTCGTCGTTATATATCAATTGGCCTATACATGCCCCCATTTGGTCTTATAGCAGCTCCTGTTTTGCTTAAAGTATCCTTTTTATTATTATTATGAAATGCATTTTATGAGAGAAAAACTATATAAACATTTCATTCTTATTCAATTTTCTCACCGAAATTTTCTTAAGTATTTAATTTCCAATTTTTTTCATATTACTATTATATTACTAAAGTGTAATGTTTTCATAGCTGGTAATAATAACTTTAATTAAAAATTCATTAACAATTTCATGCTCTATCTTTGTATCTGTCATTGGGAGAATCAGATGATGACAATAAAACATCAGATATATGTAAAACTTCAAAATCGCATGCTGTTCCACTTATTAAGGTACCATTGTTGTTTTATCCTCTAGAATATTAAATTATGTAGTAAAGGCAAAAAAGTTAAAATATTTGTGTTTATTTCAGGAAGGACCTAGTTTATGGTTAGCTTTGCATATTGTTGGCATTTCTCATATATTTGGGTGCCTATTATACATAGCTCCAAATCTTTTAGATTTTGTTGGTAAAAAGTTGTTCTTATCTACCGAAGATGCATTTTATTATGGAACAATTACTGTATTAGTTTACCCTCTCAGTTTTACACTGTATGGGCGAAGACTAATGGGGTAAGTTACTATAAAATTGCATAAACTGAGTGTATTATGTAATGTTGTTGTTTGGAATTTAATAATTTAATTATTAATACATTACATTATAGGTTAACTCATGATCTGCGGATTTATCGGTGCGTTGCACTCCTTGAACTAGGTGCCTTTCTTTACACACTTTCCCTCATTAATATATCTATGGCAACAGCTCTTTCAATTATTTATGTTCCTGTTGCAGTAACTGCTGGAGGAGCTAAAAGCAGGTAAAATTTTATTTTATATATAAGTACAGCAAGTCTTCACTTAACATTGTTTTATTTTGTATTTATAAATGATTACAAATATTGTTATTGAATTTTCTTTATAAACAGTAAAATTGATTGTATGTGATAGACTAAAATGTTAGAGGTTGCAAACACAATACAATAAGAATAATAATAACAATATTTCAACAATTTGGTTAATATAATTTGCATTCACTATAACCTTTTTCCAAGTAATGTGAACCATATCCATAGTATTAATTAACATGCAATATGGCATTTAATATCAAACAAACATGCCATTTTAAATTTATACAGCACTGTTGGAATTGCCAATTGTTTTTGAATTGCACGATAGTAGACAGTGCTTTTTACAATTTCTCCTTTGCAGCCCAATAAAAAATATATGCTTGCAGTTTGAAAAAATTTTAGACCTATAAATTTCCACTTTTGCTGTCCTTCCTTAATCTCAGGAATGGAGTTAGTTACATAGTTGTGAGGTAGCAGAAATTCCTATATTCGAACTAGACTTTAATATTAATATTGTTCGAGTTACATAACAATTGTTGTTCATAGCTACCTGAGAAAGTCTCCCGTTACATTTTCTCAAAGGCAACATGGTTTCTTGTGATCTTTTAACCTCTGGACAGCCGATATCGTCCATGAATATTGCCAGAGATGGCTGAAAAAAAGTCAGTCGTCGTCTGTCCCTCCATCAAAGGAAACCAGCACCAATTACTCCAGGAATATCATCGACCAGTGTCCATTTTGGATAACTTGTGCCATCATTGTGCTAGTGGATATTATAGTGGAACTAATTACCATTGGAACTATTATCCAACAACGAGCTCCATTGGGAGATCTCCCTTTATCACCAGGTATTTATGCAACTTGCGCTCGTTATGTGAACTCTCTCTCTCCGCAACCAAACTTTAGAACCTCTGTATCTTATCCAATTTATTTTTAATTAAATCCTTGTTAAGTGTTAATTGTAGTTTGAGTCACTTCCTATGTTGTCTCTTGATCGGCTGACATTACGAATCCATCTGTCCACTTACGGGACTGCTCGCACGACAATGTGACATAGTAATTGCCATCTCGGCTTCCGTGTTCCGATAAACACGGTGGTGTCAATCTTGACAGGGCACTAAAGAGGTGCTGACCTGAAAGGTCACATAAAAGTCAAGGCCAGATATAGAAAGCTTAGGGGAAAAAGAGCCCTGATCAACTCTATATGAACTTCTGATGCAAACTGGAGGTCATGTTATTTCAGATCAAAAATTTTTCCTTGAAAGGAATTAGATAGCAATGCTGGTCATCTAACAGAGAGTATGATGTACAGGGGCATGACACTACTAATTTGAGGTGGAGAGCATATATTTTAAATTAAATAAATTAAAAATATGATTAAAAATTGCAAACCATTATTGTGATGTCACAATAAATAATTGCTTGTTACTCATATTTACTCATCTCTAGTGATGAGGATTTGTCCTTTCTCCTAATACCAACTATACCTTCACAATTGCCATTGTCCACTGGTTTCCAAAATTGGATGAATAAATATCTTATTTGTTTCATTAATTTTTCATATTAGAAGTTTGTTAATAACTCTTGTTTATATCAATTAGCCTATAATTGGTTTCATTATGTCTTTTCACTTAAATTAATAAACACTATTGGTTTATTAAGTTATTGCAATATTATAAACAAAGTGTGAACATTTTTGCCTGTTTTGAACAGGCATCATTAGGCAATGAACTGTTGAGAAAATGCATGTGTTGGGGGGAAGGGTGTATGACATAAGTTGGGAGGAGAGAGTTTAGATTTCTTAGAAAAACTTCCAGGCCGTGGGGAAGGAGACAATGTTGTGATAAGTTTATAAAAATTATAAAATAATCTATTGCCAAATTTACACTAAAGGTATTTGATTATTTTCTGTATGTTGATATCCATTTAAATATGCTAAATTAAGTTACATTAAATGCAAATGCACCCCATACCATATCTCCCTCCAAGTTGAAAACTAGAATAATCTTTAGTTTTTATCATGATATTAGAAAGAAGCTAAGTTATTTGGGTTTCCATGACATAACAGTGTCAAGCAGGACAAAAGTACTTGAGATGTTAAAAAGAAGTTTGGAATATATTTTTCTTAGAAATTTTGAGAAGCTGCAAATCAATCTGACAAATCTTAAATGAATAAGATGCAAAATATCCAAGGACAGTTACAAAAGATTAAAAATAAATCCAAATATTTTGCTGTCATTTTGAGGTAACATTGACTTTTGATGTTCATGTAAATGGTGATGGTTAAAAATTCTTTTTGTACAATAACTTTTGAAACTCCAAATGCATTTCATTTGAAAATCTTCACAATTGCTGCATTCATCTGCAAATATGTAAAAATTAAAATTGAGAGGATAGTTTTTTTTCAGTTGTAAATTATTATTTTTTTTTTGCCATTGTTAGTGAAAATTACTGACTTTCAATTTCAGAGAACAAAAGTATCTTTGATATATCTGTTATAATGGTTAAATTTTAAATAGTTCTGGTTACTTAATTAAAATGCCTCTATGTCCTTTTTTTTCATATTAATATGTAAATTTTCAACTAAAAATTCATATCTTCTATTATCAGGACTTATTATACTGGCTTTATAGATAATATTACAAAGATTAACAGAAAACAATTTTTATTTTATTCCATATACCTGGACACATACATAATTTTGTGTTTCGGACATATTTGTCCCTCCTCAGCAGGTATTTTTGTATATTCTATAAACAATAAAACAAAAATTTAAAATTTACATTTAAAATTTCCCAACAAAATAAAATTCTTACAATTTTCCGGTTTTCCTTTATTTTTTTTTTTTTTGCTCAATTGGATATTCAAATTTTACCAACAAAATCAGAATTACTATGATTTTAAACCTGTATTAAACCAAATTATATTAACATTATCACAATTTTTTTTACATTTGTTTACTATTATTACAACTTACATTTGTTCTTGTTCCATTTGATCACACCTCGTCTCCATTTCTTTTGATCGTTCTTTTTATCTTTTAGACACACCCCTTTTTCTATGAATCTTAGCCATGATTGGTGCATTTCTCTACCAGTATTGCTGTTTATTCTATTATTTTGTCTGATTATATAAATATGTTCATAAAGTTGTCTTTTGTAATTATTCTTTTCTTTTTTTTTTATTTTTACTGAATTCAATACTATTTCACAACCTGTATTATTACAATGCTCCGTGACTACTGAATTTGCATAATTTCTCTTGATTGCTCAGATGTGTTCATTTATTCTTATTTTTAGTTTCCTTTTCGTTTCTCCTATATATATTTTTTCTGGTTTACAACTACAATTAAATGAATATACAACTCCTTTTTCTTCTAATATATCGTAATTTCCTTCATTTCTATAACATAAATGGTTTTTTGTTGTATTTACTTTTTCCGGTATTAGATTGATTCTACTATTTAATATTTTCTTAATTCTTTCAAATATCTTAGGGATATATCTTATATTAACAAAACTTTTCTCAGATAAAGAGAAAGTTTTGTTAATATAAGATATATCCCTAAGATATTTGAAAGAATTAAGAAAATATTAAATAGTAGAATCAATCTAATACCGGAAAAAGTAAATACAACAAAAAACCATTTATGTTATAGAAATGAAGGAAATTACGATATATTAGAAGAAAAAGGAGTTGTATATTCATTTAATTGTAGTTGTAAACCAGAAAAAATATATATAAGAACGATAGAAAGAAATGGAGACGAGGTGTGATCAAATGGAACAAGAACAAATGTAAGTTGTAATAATAGTAAACAAATGTAAAAAAAATTGTGATAGTGTTAATATAATTTGGTTTAATACAGGTTTAAAATCATAGTAATTCTGATTTTGTTGGTAAAATTTGAATATCCAATTGAGCAAAAAAAAAAAATAAAGGAAAACCGGAAAATTGTAAAAATTTTATTAAATAATTTTGTCGGGAAATTTTAAATGTAAATTTTAAATTTTTGTTTTATTGTTTATAGAATATACAAAAATACCTGCTGAGGAGGGACAAATATGTCCGAAACACAAAATTATGTATGTGTCCAGGTATATGGAATAAAATAAAAATTGTTTTCTGTTAATCTTTGTAATATTATCTGTAAAGCCAGTATAATAAGTCCTGATAATAGAAGATACGAATTTATAGTCGAAAATTGACATATTAATAGTTCTGGTTACTTTTTATAAACTGTCATTTTATCTAAACTTTTGGAACATTAATAAGTAAATGTAATTAATTATTAAATAATGTTAAAAAATGCTATTAGTTGTTTTGTATTTTTTTTTAGCTGAAATTGCATGTTTAAATAAACATTTTGAAATCTGAGAGAGAAAATATAGTCTGTCTCAAAAGTTGAGGTAATTTTACATACATAGATACATGTATAACATGAAACTAGTATTTATATAAGTAAAAAATATTTAATTCTTCTTTTAAGACAATTTTTCAAATACAGATTACAGTATTTGCTGGACATTTATAATTTTTTTAAAATTATCTAAAATTGTATTGCATTCTTTTCTGATCATCTTTTTAATTTAAAAATTAATACGGTTATAAAACATTTTTTTTACAAAAGAATGATATTTCTCTTAATGTATTAAATATTCCATATGCTTTTTAATAACTTAAAATATACTAATAATGAAGACTTCATAAAAATATTATTAAAAATTTATTATTAAAAATCATTTTCAGATTTCATTTATATTTAAAATATCTTATATACAAACACACAAGTTTTGAGCTTTAAGTAGCATTTTAAAGTGTCAAATGACTTGGTCATTCTATTAATGTATTATATTCATTTATTTCTTTTTCAAAAGAATATAAAATAAATCAATTTATAATCATGCATTAAAGAAATAAGATTATCTGTTTTTGACTAAAGTTAAATGATTGTTTTTATTTATCAGATTTCTGTCTTGGCCACATGCTGTTTTGCTACTACTGCTGCATCCATTCATACTGATTTATTTGTGCTTGATAGCAAATTCAATATATATTGATTCTACTGCTCCCATAAGTGAACACTTGTCTCGGGCATTGAAGGGACACAAAAAAGTTCTGCTGTTTACTATTGAAGATTGGTATTTATATAGCAATTGGAATTACGCAATGGCATCAATATTTTTTCTACCAGCTTGGTTGATGTTATGGTTATTACCTAGTGTGTAAATAAAAATTGTAAGATATTTTAAAAACTTTTAGATATAATATTTTATTTATAAATAAATTGTTAATAATTCAATTACATTATGAATTTAAACAGTACTGTATCACTAAAAAATATAAAGTAATTTATTCCAGAAATATAATAAAATTGATTAAAATAAATTTTAATTGTTGTTATAAAAATAATAAAAAAAACTATAAATTCAAATTTAAAACACTTTGTTTGAACTACAATATGTGAATTTTTTAATATATAAGTAATTCAAGGATTAATGTTAATATAGTTGTATGTTTATTATTCAATTATTTTACATGAATATACTTTTATGTATTTACATGTAAAATCTCTTTTTGTAATCATTTCCAAAATACTACAATAACATTTTATGTTGATGTGTAAGTATATATTATTTTTATTATTGTAACTAGATGAATTTTAGAGGAAAAATAATTCATTTTCATGAATTTTTTTGTTCTGTTCTTTATACAATATGTATTTTTTATTTTATGAAAATTTGATAAAAGTTTGTTTTTATATTCTCTTTTTATTTGATTTGGAGAGTCAGTTAATCAATCTCAGGAATATCAAATGATTTTTGACCATTTTTTATTGTATTCAAATGCAATTAAATATTAACGATATATAAATATAATTTTTGAACCATATTTTTTATTTGAATTATAAAAAAAGTAGTTTATTTCTTATTTAAATATATTAATTAAATACTTAAGTTTGGATTTGTGATTAATTTAAAATGGAATAAATATTTCATAAAAAATACAGATAGAATGTAATAATTCAATCTAAATTAAACATAAAATGGATAAATAATTAAATTTGGAAAATGTAGAAATCAAAAGTGCTATACATATAATAATTCATATATATGATACTATATATTATTTTAATACCACTAATTTTATTTAAGGTATAATGTTTTCTAGCTTAATAAAATGCTAATACGTTAGCTTAGAATTATTGTATTTTTTTATAGTAAGAAGAAAATACAGGCAAAACATACTACCGTATTTTCCGTATGTTGAATATCTGTTGTAATGATTTGCAAAAATAAAATGTGTGCTGATATCCAAGAATTAAGATTTTTTTAATAAAATATCATTAGATATAACTTTTAAATTTTCTGATTTATTTGTGCTGTAACTTTTAAATGTTGTTTACAAATATTAAAAATGAGAACATACTATTCTTTACATTTAAATTTTCCAATAGTTAAGATATAATTTACTCAAAATTAATATGTAGAACAAACATAAAAATTGTTATATTATGTATCTTTTACCTTAATCATTAATCAAATAATCAAAAGGAAAATCAAGTTTATGACCCAGCATATAAATTTAAAGCAAGGTTTTTACTTCAAACAAGCAAAAAACAAATAATAAAACTAATAGCTAGTAAGATATTTTAATAAAACTTACAAAATATTAAATTTTATACTATTTCATTATTTTTTGATATATTGATCTTTGACAAATTTCTATGTCTCCATCGCAATGATGGAATTTATCAAAGTTTTTCTAGGGAAAAAAATTGGTATTTTAATAATATTGATCTATAACATTGTTTTTTACAGAATAAGTTTCACGAAAATATAAAATAAAGAATTTTTTTTTTTCTTGAAAATATTTCTATTTCTTTATCATTTTATTTTTCCAAGAATTTATGAAAAGGTTTGAGTTAAATTTTGTAACTTGTATTAAAACTTTAAAGTAATCATTTTATTTATTGGATTAATTTATCCATATTATAAAAGAATAATACAACATAATTTCATGCATAAAATTATTAATTTACTAATATATTGTATTTTAAAATTTTTAATTAAAATATATTATTTAATACTTTTAGTTGCTGTAAAAATTAAGTATAAGAGTACATAAAAAAAAACAAAAATGTTTTATAGCATTTCCAGATGTTTACTTTGTGTAAGGTTAAATCAAATATTGTGTAGTTGGTAACTAAAATCATTTATAAAATTAAACAGTCTTTTTATTTGTATTACAAATTTAATCTTAATAAAAACAATTATTAATTATTAATTTCAGTTAGTTAATAAAAAATGAAATTATAGTTATTTTATTAGTTAATGAATTCATTTAAGAACTTTTAGTACTGTGTATGTTTTCAACAAGTTTAAAAATTCATTAAATAATGAAGTTTTTAAATTATAATTATATTAAAAATTTATTATTTATTATTTAGGTATTGGTAAATTTTAATAATGTTAATTATCAATTGCTTTAATATAATTTTATAATATTTGGGAAAATAGTTTAACAATTGCAAAACTAAAATGCTCATCAGTGGTCCAGTGGATAAAACCACTGAACACGGATAATTGGTCGTGTGTTGGAGCTTGATCATGTGAAATTTTTTGGGTTTTCTTCGCGTTAACATCATCTAAATAGGGTCCAGTTTCCCATAAAAGACTTTCCGCTTGGGCAGATCACCCATGTTTCATGTTGAGGTGTAGACATAAAACCAAATCAAGATTACCAGATGCAAAATTATGAATGGAGGATAAATTCTGAAAATTGAGGATATTGTGGGTGTGTTCAAACAATGCTTGAACTGAAAGAATAAAATAAAGAAATCAATCTTTTATTACAAAAATTTTAATATTTTCCAGTTACTTAATTTTGATCATAATTCTTAAAAGGTTTGTAAAAGGACATTTTTTAAAGTCAAATCATAAGCTATTGATTAACATAATATTTTAATGTTTTTTTTTATTAAAAAGAATAATTTATAGTTCAGGATTTAAAACGTATATATATATCTTTGTAACAGAACTTTTGTATATGAACAATGATTTTGAATTAAAATCACATTTCTGGATGAATCAAATTCTTTTTAAAGATTGAAATGTCAATATCGAATGTTTAATCAATGATGAGTTGAGACGAAGAGGATTATTGAATGATTTAGTTTAGGATTTAAATGACAAAAATGTCAAAGTATTAGTTAAATATTGAAAATAAAATGGACAGTATTGAAGAATACTTGTCGCTTGAACTTACTTATATGTATGTAATATATATGTATGTATGTATGTAATTTGAAACAAACTGTTTAACAAGTTCACACATTTAATGAACTATAGATCTGTAAATGAATAAACGAATACTGAAAAATAATAAAATTTTTTAGCAAAATGTAAAAAAATAAAATAAAAATAAAATTCGATTAACAAAAGACAACAGTCATACACAAAGTGTTTATCTGGCAGAAGAAGAGGGAAGCGAGGAAAGGGGTGAGGAGAAAGGAAAGATATCTCTGAGCAGTGTAGGTAAGATTAGCACTCCCTTTTATATGTTGCCATGCAGTTTTTAGGTTGCAAAGCCGTGGGTCTAAAAGAAAACCTGAATTGTAGCATACACCAATAAGTAGTGCAAGTATATAAAAGCTAGACAGATTAAAGTATAATGCTTAAAATTAAAGGCTTCAAACTAATACTAAAACAATACAGAAACTAAGCTAGTAAGCCCCATAAGAAGCAGAATAACCTATCTGTAACAACTAGAAAAAAAACAGTGAATATACTAGTAACTTAAATTTAACTTATACCTAAGTTAATTTTAAAATGTTAGAAATTAATCAAACTATAGTAAGTTAAGTGGAACGAATCGTCATGTCTTGTTCTGTATGATAAAGAAATTGTGCTATGCAGAAAATACATTGATTTTACGTGAATCAGCAGCTAAGTACCATATGACGAGTAAGGAAATGATTCACTTATCAGACTAGTAGGCGAGAGAATTGATGAACCTCATATCGAAGGGCGTAATGCCAGGACGACAGATTATCGACAAATAGCTGTGATAACAATGATGTTGATTCTCATCTGGAGAACTGTTAGGCAAGTCTTGTCTTCCTATAGGGAGACATTACACTACTATCGCTTACGTATTTGCTATATGATTAGAGTAGACGAAGTGATATCTATCGACGGGTGATTTCAGATTTGAATAATTTAGGATAAGGAATAATAACGTTTCGTTTTAGCCTAATTATGAATTCTTGTTTTCCGGCCATCCCCGAAAAATTCCTGCTATCCGTCGATAACTTCTAGAGATTCAACTATTTCTGTCGAATGATATCCATTTGTTACATTAATTTTGTAATAAGTTTAATCAGTCGTTTCTGTAGTTTTTCAGATTAACTTCAGTAAAATATTGATTATACATCAAAATGCGTATCATTTTGCTGCAAACGTTAATCTACATCGTTTAATATCATAATCTTATACCGCAGTTATCGTTAGAAAATAACCATAGAAGTATCAGCATAAGTTATCAAATTTATCAAACCAAATGCATACGGGAGTTGCACTAACATCTTGAATTGGTGAAAATTGCCACACAGATCTAGCTACAAAAGAAATAAACAGCCGAATCTCGTATAAATATTCAACAAACAATTCTGAGTCTATTTCGAAATGTCTAACACTATCTCATATTGCGGTAACTTCATAACACATCAAGTATTAATTTCTGATTTAAAATTTGAAGAGGAGGACCATAACATGTTAATCTACACGTCCATGAAATTTTGGAAACTCAGCGCCCATAGAATTTTAGGTCACAAGACTACTATCACCTTTTAAGAAGCATTTAAAAAGGTGAGAGTAGCAAATTTCGCTAACCATACAATCGGCTATATTTACTGAGAAGTCGAATACCGTGTAAAATTCATAGTACAGTTGAATTCGCTTAAAATATTACACTCGGAATCACTGCATCTTGCTCTCTTATTCCAAGTAATAAGATCACCATGGGATTGGTTTATGGTATTCGATTCTCTTCACTTTTTCTTGTCTTGGGAGCTTTATGTATCTTACAACACACTCGAAACGTTAAAATTCATCATGTAATCTTACAGTACTTGCACATTTGTTTCCATCTTTATGTCATGTTTTATTCTATTGAATAATCAGTAAATAATGTCGGCCGGATGGCCGAGCAGTTCAGATGGCACCCTACCGCTCTGAATAGCCGGAATCGTATCTGGACGGGTCGAAAAAACCCCAGGAATTTTTCGTGGATGGCCCGTCTGGATACGTCAAATTCCGACCCTGACCATCTGG